CCCCCCTTTTTCTAATGGGATCATACAGCGCCTACTCCTCTGTAACTTGCTTGGTTGAGCTGCTGTCAGCCGAGTTTAGCAGGTGGTAGGTCCTGCATGTCAGCTATTGTCACTGTTGGCGTTGGACCCTGGAGAGGCTAAACTTCTCTGTGTTTGTCGACAGCTTTTCATACTTTGTGATTTGCCTATGCATGTCCCTTGCTCAGTTTTCTCTTATTTTTATTTTTTATTAATCTTTATTGATTTCAGAGAGAGGAAGGGAGAGTGAGAGAGATAGAAACATCAATGATGAGAGAGTCACTGATCAGCTGCCTCCTGCACACCCCCAACTGGGGATCGAGCCCGCAACCCGGGCATGTGCCCTGACCGGGAATCGAACCCCGATCGCCTGGATCCTAGGTTAATGCTCAACTGCTGAGCCAAGCCCGGCTGGGCTTCTTGTTGGTTTTTAACAGTACTTTATATATTAAGGTTACCCCCTCTGTACATTGGATAGTCAGAGTGATTCCCAAACTCCCTGGAGAGTAGAAAGCAGAGAGAGACCATGCCAGGGACTGAGCACTGGGTGCTCGGCCCCTGGACCCCGGCCTGCTGAGGAACCCTGGAGTTGGGCAGCAGGAAGGGGTGAGGCTGGCAGGGCAGTGAGGGACGGGGCAAAGAAAGAACAGAGAAGGTTCAGGGCTGGAATCAGAGGCTCTGAGTGACAGAGGTTTAATGGGAGGCAGATGGAGGAAATGAGGCTGCCCTTGCTGACAGGAGGGAGGTCAGGGGGCACAGAGCTTTCTAAAGATAGGGGCCTGGGCGACAGGCAGGCGGCAGGGCTTGGCTCCAAAGCGTGGTGCCCAAGGGCTGTGACAGAGCAGGGGTCAGCTCCTCCCTCCTGCATGTCCAGACCCTCTTGGACCCAGAGCCAGAGGGACTGCAGGACACTCGGCTCCCAGAGGCCAGGCCTGGCTGTGCAACGTTGGACAAGCACCCAAACCTCTCCAAGCCTGGTTTCTTGTTTGCAAAATGGTGTGACTACATCACCTACTTAACAGGATTGACGGAGGCTAGCATGTCAAGCATTTAGCGCAGTGCCCGGCACATGGAGAGGGCTCCGTAGATCAAAGTTAACTCGGCCCTAGCTGGTGTTGCTCAGTGGTTAGCGCGCCGGCCCGCAGACTGAAGGGTCTCGGGCTCGGTTCTGGTCAAGGGCACCTACCTGGTCGAGGCGCATGCAGGAAGCAACCAGTCGATGTGTCTCTCTCACATTTATGTTTCTCTCTCTCTCTCCCTCCCTTCCACTCTGAAAAGCAATGGAAAAAATATTCTCGGGTAATGGTTAACACAAAAATTTAAAAAATTAGCTCATATTGTTACTGTGCTGGTCATAAGACAGTTTTCTCGTTGGCAGAGCTCTTTGTTGCCTCCAAGACTGTCAGAGCCGAAGGCCTTCAGCTCACAGGAGAGGAAACTGAGGCACAGAGGCCACAGGGTCACACCTGGCCTCATTCATTACAACGGCTTCAATTGCATTCTCCAGAAATATGTTCAAGTTCTAGCCCCTGGGACCTATGACTGTGACTCTATTTGGAAAAGGGGGTTTTGTGAATGTAACCGAGTTAAAAAGAGGTCATACTGGATTAGGGTGGGTCCTACGTCCGATGGCCGGTGTCATTTAGAAAGGAGCCGATTTGGACAGAGACACGCACACAGGGAAGAAGCCACGTGAAGAGGGAGGCAGGCCGAGACTGCAGCGACGCTGCCACAAGCCGAGGAACGCAGCCGAGGAATGCTCGGGGCTGCCAGGAGCTGAGGAGCTGAGCAAGGAGCCTTCTCTAGACTTGGAGGGAGCGTGGCCCTGCCCACACCTTGATTTCCGACTTCTGGCCCCCGAACTGGGAGGGGATACATTTCTGCTGTTTTGAGCCACCTAGTTTGTGGTACTTAGGAAACAAATGGAGCCAAGGAGGAAGCAGGCCTCAGGCCAGGCTGCCCGCCCCCAGCTCTGCCCTGGACCCCATTCTAGATGGGCCTCCTCCACTTATTCACTGTGTGCCGTTGGACAAATCAGGCCCCCCAGGTGCTTCGGTCCCCTCACCTGTGCTGTGGAGCAAGTGACCCCGGATCAAATGAAGGGCCATGCTGCCTCTGGGTTGCCTGTGGTTGCACCATTCAGAACCTTGGAATCTATGGGGGGGGGGGACACCACGACACCCTGAAAACAGGGGCAGCCATTCCCAACCCTCCAGTGTAACACGGGGGAGACTGAAGCAGGCAGGAGCAAGTGCCCCATTCAGAGTCACTGATCAGCTGCCTCCTGCAGGCCTCCTACTGGGGATCCCGCCTGAAACTGGGCATGTCTCCTGGCTCATAGGTCCATTATCAACCAGAGCCACGCCTGCCAGGCCTGATGAGGGTTTTAATGGCTTGTCATTTGATCTGCGCAAGTACCCTGTAAACCGGACAATCACAACAGTGAGCAATTATCCAGCCCCTGCTGCATACTTGGCCCCACTGGGTCCCTGGAGCTGGGCCTGGGCATGCTCTGGATGGGGTTTTCCTGTGAGCTCTGTTTTGCTCTTGTCGGAGGAGGCTTATTCTGCCCATTTTTAATGTTGAATCATAAGACACATCGGATTGTCTTTAAATGTGGCTCTAAACGGATTTTCCTGCCCCTGACAACCCTGGTCTCTGGCAGGTGCCAGGTGGGAGAGACTCCCAGGCCCTGGGGGGGCGGGGGGCCCAAGGCTGGGATCGGGCACACCTCTTCACAACAGATATTCCAGAACCATGAAGCTGTAAGGGCCCCACCGTGGGACTCGAGGTTGGGGAGGTGCAAGTACGTGGCCCGAAGAAGGCTTGGGGGCGCCAGGCTCGAGTCAGCATTGGCCGGGCCGTGCAACGGGCGGAGGTCGGATGGCGCCCGGCGGCCGCGGGCGGGATCGCAGGGCGGAGCGGG